GGCTCTGAGCCATCAGCCCAGAGCCTGACGTGGGGCTTGAACTCGCGGACGGCAAGATCGTGACCTGGCTGAAGTCGGACGCTTAACCGACTGCGCCACCCAGGCGCCCCCAAAATTTTTTTTTTTTAACGTTGGCTATGACAGGGCACCTGGGTGGCTCAGTTGGTTAAGGATTTGACTTCGGCTCTATGATCTCACAGTTCATGAGTTTGAGTCCCCCTTCGGGTGAGCTCCACTTCTCTCTCTCTCTCATTCTCATTCTCGATGGGATGAAGCACATTTGTAAGTGTATGATCAGTGTAATTATTATGTGTATTATCAGCAGCCCTTAGCCTGTGGAAGAGGTCAAGAAGCTACAGCTGAAATTTAGTATTTAGGTAGAAGTGTGGAGAAGTTACAGAATAGAATGTTGAATTTTAGTGTTAATTGAAAAAACTGGTCATAAGTGGTCTCTGGGATCCTTGAGAATTCTTTGAATTATCTGAATGTTAATTTCTAACTTTGATACAGGGAACAAAGGCATGCTTTCCTTAGGACATCTCTTATTGCTATCTCATCCAAGGGAATGCCAGTATTCTCATGGCTCATTAGATGGGGTGGGCGTGGGAAGATGGGTAAAATGACGTGTGGGATTAAGAGGGTCAAATGGTCAAATGCCCTCTCAAAGCTGTCTACTGCCTAAAAGTGTTTGATAAATACGGATATGGTCAAAGCCTTCTGATTCTTCAAAGCAGCTTTGCTGACAATGTGCTTCTTTCAGAAGATGTAGATTCCCCAGAGATTAAGACAGGGTGTTTTACCTAGAAAACCAGTTGTATATTAGGCTGTAGGACTCATGAAACCCTTGCCTGTTGCAGACGCTGACTGGAAAGGAGATTGAGATTGACATTGAACCCACAGACAAGGTAATGTATGGCCAATACTTTTTCATGCCTGTCTCCCTACATGCACATTTGTTTGGATGTGCTGATGAACTTAGTCCTTTCACTCTCATGCTATCTGCATAGCTCTTGTTCTTTCCACTTCCATGGTTCTACCCCTTAGCAGCCCCTGACTACTTGTACCCCTAAAGGTGGAGCGAATCAAGGAGCGTGTGGAGGAGAAAGAGGGAATTCCCCCACAGCAGCAGCGGCTCATCTACAGTGGAAAACAGATGTAAGTTGGACATAGTTGTGAGGTTGAGGGAGCAAATACTGGAGGAGGAGCCTGAGATCCTTTGGTGATTTGGTGAATCCTATGAACTCCTCGGATAAGATTTTTGCACACATAAAATAAAATACATAGATTTACAAAGGAAACTAATGATAATGAGATACGGTTCTCAAGACACTAAAAACAAATTTGTGAAAAAATAATATATGTGGTTTATTAATACATTAAGATCTAATGGTAGGAATAATTACCATAATTTTGATATATTTTCAAAATACTTGCAAACAGTTATGTTATGAAATTTCTGTCCACAGGTCACCCATGTTGCTAATACCACTGTGGGTTTTTTGTCTATGTTCAAAATTAAAAGAAATAATAGGGGTGCCGGAGTGGCTCAGTCGGTTAAGCTTCCAACTTCAGCTCAGGTCATGATCTCACGGTTTGTGAGTTCGAGCCCTGCATCAGGCTCTGTGCTGACAGCTCAGATTCTGTGTCTCCCTCTGTCTGCCCCTCCGCCGCTTGCACTCTATTTCCCACATTGTCTCAAAAATAAATAAACATTAAAAAAAAATTTATCAAATTTCATTTAAGGGGTTAGTAAAAATAAAGATGTAAATTCTTTCTGCATTCATAGACCCCCCCAGAAAGACTCAAAAAACTAAGCATAAGAATCTTGTTCTAGATGGTATTTTTAATCCCCCCCCCTTTTTTTTTGCTGCCTTTTCCTGCAGGAATGATGAGAAGACAGCAGCTGATTACAAGATCCTAGGTGGTTCAGTCCTCCACCTGGTGTTGGCTCTGAGAGGAGGAGGTGGCCTTAGGCAGTGATGGACCCTCCCTCCATTTTACCTCCTTACCCTGTCGCTCCTAATGAGGCATCATATGTCCTCTCACTCTGTGGGACACCAGAGCCACTGCCCCCTCTCCTGGATGCCCAGTCTTGTTTGGCAGAAGACCGTGAGGACCCCAGGATGCGGTGTTCTTGACCCAAAGGGCCCTTGGTGACCATTGGGTTTTAGTTTGCAGTCCTGTGTGCTTCCCTCTCTTATGGCTATGTCCCTAGTTGCCAATAAAATATTTCCTGACCTCCTGGAATCTTTCTTGTATTGCACAAAAGTGCACATCACAGTATATACTCTTTTACATTTCTGAAGGACGACGGAAGGGAATGTGCCCTTAGGGGGATTATCAGACTGTAGGAAAGTCAGCTGTAAGTGGTGTGGAGCCAGTTCTTATCAGCTCAGGAGATCTAATTATTGTCATCTCTTCCCAACCCCATAATTGGTTTCCTGCTTGTAGCTTGAAATTGGCCATGATAGGAATATTTACAGAAGCCAAACAATACAAATCAGCCCCTCCCCCCAAGCTGGTTGTTACACATTTACCAGTGTACTACTGATGTAGGTAGTAGAAACCAGGAGAGTGAATTCTCTCCCATTGTACCCCTACTGGCCATTTGGGCCCGATTCAAGAAGCCTCAAGGGCTTCACAGACACTACGATGTTTATGGCTGGAATGCGGGGGAGGGCTCTGGGTTCTGGAGAGAGGCGGATTCGGAGAAAGGTTGAGTGAAGAGTGAGTGACAAAGCTACGGATAACTTAGGTCTCAGCTGGGAAGATAAAATGAGAGAGGTGTCGGATGAAAGGGCTCCCTTCCCTGGCGTCTCTAGCCGATTCCCGCCACGCTGGTTGGAGAAGAAAGGGAAGAAGGTGTCTCGGAGAGATGGACCACTGCGGTGGCGTGGGCACTTAGCTACAGTCCTTCCCCCGGTCCGCCGTCAGGAGGCGCTCTTGCGCGGCCTCCAGACCCACGGCCGCAGCTCCGCACGGCGACGCTCTAGTCGCTGTTTCTCTAAGGCAGGAGGAGCGGTTTGCAGCCGCAAGGCCTCGCCTCGCATCGCGCAGCCTGCCAGCGTCGGTCATGACGCGGCTCCCAAAGCTGGTGGTTTTCGATCTGGGTGAGGAACCGGCCCGGGGAGATTTGCGGCGTGCTCTCCTTTCCCAAAGCCCCGCTGCAGTTCTCGGGGCCCTGCGCGCTCCGAGCCTGAGCCCTTCCTCCGTCCTTCCGCAGATTACACGCTCTGGCCGTTCTGGGTGGATACGCACGTAGACCCCCCGTTCCACAAGGGCAGGTGAGAGGCGGCGCCGGGGAGGCCGGGTCCGGGCGGGGCCGGCCTCCGCTGAGCGCGCTCTCTCCCTCCAGCGACGGGGCTGTCCGGGATAGGCGGGGCCAGACAGTCCGACTGTATCCAGAGGTGCGTGATGTCCTGGAAAGGTTGCAGGGCCTTGAGGTACCCGTCGCGGCCGCTTCACGGTAAGGAGAGCGACTGAAAAAAAGCTGTCGGTCTCATGCTGAGAGACGCATGCATGAGGAGGCGTCTCGTGTAACCCCTTGGCTACAAAAACTTTGGCGGTGCAGATTCGCACGTATTTGCATATTTTTCTAATTGTACCCTTTCCTGTGCCTTTTATTTATTAAACCTTGACTGGCTTAGCGCCGCCTGTGTCAGACGGGAAGCCTGGGGAATCGAATAAGGACCGAGGGTGCCTACTTATCCTGGAAAAACAGCAAGTTGATTTCCCCTTGGTTAAACATAACTTCGCTTGCAGCCCCTGGCCCTGCTGATCCCGTCTATTATTACATCTTTTTGCAGAACAGGGGAGATTGAAGGGGCCAACCAGCTACTGGAGCTCTTTGACCTTGACAGATACTTTGTTCATCGGGAAATCTACCCAGGCAGCAAGGTCACCCACTTTGAGAGGTATGCAGAGATAAGGTAGAAGCTGGGAGGCCAGAGAGGCTGCAGGAGCTAAGAAGCCAGTGTGGTCACCCCCTGCCCCGCCTTGCACAGGTTGCAGCAGAAGACAGGAGTTGTCTTCTCCCAGATGATCTTCTTTGATGACGAGAAGCGGAATATCCTAGACGTCAGCAAACTGGGTACAGAGTGGTGAGATTAGCCTTTTGGGGAATGAGGAGAAAGTTCCTAGGAGCGGTTAGATAGATAGGTCCAGGATGGGTAGCTTGCATGCAGTTTTTGGGTGCACCCAAAAAAGGTGAGAGTAACAACAGGCCTGATGAAATGTGGCTTCTTTTCTTTCTAGGAGTTACCTGCATTCATGTCCAGAATGGAATGAATCTTCAAACCCTAAGTCAGGGACTGGAGACGTTTGCAAAGGCCCAAGCTGGGCCCTGAGGTCCAGTCCTGTGGATGAGCCTCATTTGAAGCATAAAACTGAAAGGAAATCATGAAGGCATTTTCAGGTGTATTTGTAAATTATTAAAGTATGTTTGTGTGTGACAGAAATCTTCTGGCTGGTTTTTGTTTTTCTAGCTTTGTAGCCGGCATTGGCTTTTCGGAGGTGCCAAGACCAGAGCGAGTGGAATTAGACATCCGGCTCTGCCAAAGAAACTTGTGGCACACCCGACTGTGGCCCCCTTGTGCTCATACCATCCGCGCCCCAATTCCTGAACTCTGTCAAGGGCCGGGAGAACTCTTCCACTGGCCCCAAGAAGAGGGATGTAAGACCCTGCACATTCCCTTTCAGGAAAACAAATACTGTGCTTTTTGGGGGGGTGGGGGTGGGGTGGCCTTTTTAAAGAATCAAAAACGGAGCGGCCGCTTTAAGAGGAGCGAATGGGTTGGGGGCTGGTGGCTCAGGTCACGTGGCAGAAGTGGCCTCGTTGGCTCATGTTGATGATGTCGCCGCGGTGCCCCATGGAGGGATTGGCCCAGGCCGGTCTCTGAGCGATGAGACCGCACCCTCCCGGGAGCCAGGCGGAAGTTGCAAGAAGCCGCGGAGAGGAGGCAGGAGAGGCAAGGGTGGTGGAGATGAGTGGTCTCGGCAGACTCTTCGGGAGGGGTGAGCCCGGGTGAGCCCGGTGGGCTGGTGGTGCTGGCCAAGGGGGTGTGGGGAAGGCCGTGGCCCCCGGCTGTCGCGAAGACCCCGTCCAGGGCCCAGGCCTCCTCACGTGCCAGGAGGCCCCGCCTTGTCGGGCTGTCTGGCTCTGGCTGTCTTCCTTCCCCCGCCCCAGGGAGAAGAGCTCGGGGTCGGGCCAGAACGTGAATGGAGGGTCCCCACTGTTTAGGCTGGGGAGTTGAGTTTCCGACTGTCATCATCTAGTCCTTTCCAAAACACTGGTTCTTCCTCTATGCTGGCCAAGGGGGGAATCCGAGGTGATGAAAAAAGACTGTCTACTTAAAACTCCCATCTGGTGGGGGGAGACCAGCAAAAACTGGTAATAGTGTAGTGTGGGAACTGCATGACGGAGATGTTCCTAAAAACTAGGGGGAGCACAGAAGAGGCGTGAGGGGTTGTGATCCAGAGGGCTAAGGTATGCCAGGTGGAGAATTGAGGTACTCCAGGGGGAAGGTAACTGTGTGCAAAACAGGCAGGAACGAGTATGGTAGTAATACTTAGGGGAAAGAGGAGTTCTGGCTGGTGGGTGTGTGTGTGTGTGTGTGTGTGCACGTGTGCGTGGGCGTGCGCGCGCGCGCACATGCCCACGCCAGCTGAAGAAGAGGAAAGTAGAAGTGTGGATGGAGAGGTGAACAAGGGCCAGGTCAAGAAGGGCCTTGTATGTCTCATTAAAGTTTTAGATTTTATCTTGCAGGCAATGGAGAGTGTGAAAGGATTTTAAGCAGGCAAGGGCCTGCCTTATTAATTTTAATTACTGTCAGAAGTGCAGAAGATGAAGGGGAAAATGGAGATCAGATTTTTTTTTTTTTCTCTACCCCCTGTACTTCATTCAGTTTGAGGGTGTGGAGTTAGGACCTTGGGCATCTCCTAGGACAGCAAGTGGAACAGCGATTATAAAAAGTGACCAAACCCCAGTGGGGATGTGCTCATAGGAGGGCCATGCATATGTGGCAGCAGGGGGTATATGGGAACTTTGTATCTTCCACTCAGATTTGCTGTGAACCTAAAACTTCTCGGGGGCGGGGGTTGGGGGGGAAGCCTGGGAATGACTTGAAAGGCAATTTGTTTTTTGTTTTGTTTTTTGTTTTTTTAATTTTTTTTTTAACGTTTATTTATTTTTGAGACAGAGAGAGACAGAGCATGAATGGGGAAGGGTCAGAGAGAGGGAGACACAGAATCTGAAATAGGCTCCAGGCTCTGAGCTGTCAGCACAGAGCCTGATGTGGGACTTGAACTCACAGACCGCGAGATCATGACCTGAGCTGAAGTCGGCCTCTTAACCGACTGAGCCACCCAGGCGCCCCGAAAGGCAATTTGAAATAGCAAAGAATACTGGATTTGGAAGTCATACTGCCACATTTCAATTCCTGCTCAATTCTATCTAGCTGTGATTTTAAACAAATGATTATTTAACACATATATGCCTGTTTTTCACATTTGTAAAGTGAAGATAGTATATTCATTATAGAGAGTCATTTTGGGATTAAGAGTAAGACAGGTGCCTAGCACACACTCTGCGCTCAGTGATTGGTGGCTAATTTATTTCCTCCACACAATATGGGCCTGCTTGATTGCACTCCAGGGAAGAAGGAGAAGGGGCCAACCCCTGAAGAGGCAATACAGAAACTGAAGGAGACAGAGAAGATATTGATCAAGAAACAAGAGTTTCTGGAGCAGAAGATTCAACAGGAGCTACAAATGGCCAAGAAGCATGGGACCAAGAATAAGAGAGGTAATGGGGGAGAGGTGCCAACTGGGCGGGCCCAGGTGGGAAGCATAAGGGCTTCTGGCTCTGATGCTCAGGGTGTGGGCTGGGTCAGCTGCCCTACAGGCTTTGCGGAGGAAGAAAAGATTCGAACAGCAGCTGGCACAAACCGATGGGACATTATCTACCCTGGAGTTTCAGCGTGAGGCCATTGAGAATGCCACCACCAATGCAGAAGTGCTTCGGACCATGGAGCTTGCTGCCCAAGGCATGAAGAAGGCCTACCAGGACATGTGGGTACGGGGGGAGGGAAGCAGGGGGCCCAGGCACTGGGGAAAGTAGCTTGGTATGTTCTCTTGAATCTTAAAACCTCTTAGAATGTAAATTTATAGATGTCTGTGACAGCTAGACTTCTGTCAGTCTCCTTGCTTCTTGGAAGATCTCTTTGCTGGCTGAAGCATTCTAGGGAGGAAAGAGGATTTTCCTAATTAAAAACAATTTTTTTTTAATGTTTATTTATTTTTGAGAGAAAGAAACAGTGTGAGTGGGAGAGGGGCAGAGAGAGAAGGAGACACAGAATCGGGAAAAGTAGGAACAGGTCTGAAGCTGAAGCACAGAGCCTGGCCGAGGCTCAAACTCAAAAGCAGTAAGATCATGACCTGAGCTGAAGTCAGACACTCAACTGACTGAGCCATCCAGGTGCTCCTTTTTTTTTTTTTTTCAACATTTATTTATTTTTTGGGACAGAGAGACAGAGCATGAATGGGAGTGGGCAGAGAGAGGAGACACAGAATCGAAACAGGCTCCAGGCTCTGAGCCATCAGCCTGAGCCTCGGGCTCGAACCACTGAGGCAGATCGTGACCTGGCTGGTCGACGCTGACCGGCGCCAACCCAGGCGCCCCTAATTTTTTTTTTAATGTTTATTTATTTTTGAAAGAAAGTAAGAGTGTGAGTTGGAGAAGGGCAGACAGAGAAGGAGGGATTTTCCTAATTTTTAAAGATCCTTCAGGAAGAGGAGTACAGCCTATTCTCCCCAAAGTGGCTTCTTGCCAATTCTCAGCCCAGACTTGCTTCCACATAATTTCCCAGGGATCACTTCTGATAGCCATGGATTTATCAGTCTGAGGCCACAGACAGGAGGGTTTTCATCCATGCAAGATGGGAAAGTCAGGAGCGTTGTTGCCTGATTTCATAGCTATATATCTTGTTCTCAGGGACATTGACAAGGTGGATGAACTGATGGCCGACATTACAGAACAACAGGAGGTGGCCCAGCAGATCTCCGATGCCATTTCTCGGCCTGTGGGCTTTGATGTGGATGAGGTGATTGGAGCAAGGGGTCAGGGAATATTGGAGAAAGCATGAGACTAGCCGGAAGGAATGCCCAAGAGAATCGTGGGGCAAATTTGGGAGGGGGGATTCAAAAATGGTATGTTTTTGGAAGTAGACATTTCCTTTCTTCATTTTTAACAGTCTTCTTGTCCCATGTCCAGGATGAACTGTTGGAGGAGCTAGAGAAGCTGGAGCAGGAGGAATTGGCCCGGGAGTTGTTACATGTAGGCGACAAGGAGGAAGAACCCCCCATCAAACTGCCCGGTGTACCTTCCACACATCTACCTGAAGAGCCAGGTACTCAGGGTTATTCTCTTGTCTCAAGGACTTGAGAGGGTGGGATAGATATGGGGAAAGATTATATTCTTCTTACATCCTGCCTCAAAGGAGCCAGGCAGAGAGGGCTGCTGCTACAGTTGCACAGGTTGTTCACCGCATAAGGGTACCTGGCTGAGGGGGAATGAAGACTAAGTCCAGCCTCTGCCTCACTCAGCAAGCTGTGTACCCTGGTGTGGGGCTGCAAGTGCTGGGAGAAAGAAGCACATCTTCCCAATTTGTACAGAGCTGCTCTGGGAATTTGCAGCAGCCCAGCAAGCAGAAGGACCACACCTTTACGTTCTTTGCTGAGGGAGAGATGTTTCAGCAGACTCTCAGTGTCACAGCAGGGGATTATTGACGTTGCCAAAGCCCTAATACTTCTTTCTTTCTCCGGGTATCCTTGTCCCCCAAGCTCCCAAAGCGGATGAAGATGAAGAAGCACTAAAGCAGTTGGCTGAGTGGGTGTCCTGATGTGTCTGCGCTTGTTTTCCTGGCGCTGACTTCATTGGTCTCTTTTCCTTAAGTGCCAAGTGCTAAGCAAAGGAACGTAGCCTTTTGGGGGGGTCCTGCTGAGGGTGATAGTGACCCTGCCTGAAAAAGGGTTGTTGCCCTCCCCTCCCTGGCTCAACTCTGAAAGAGAATGTTGGTGCAAGAGGAGCCCCTTGGCTTCCTTCTCTTTGATAACAGTTACAGTGCCCTTGTTCCCAATAAAATCAGGCAGATGGAACCCTAGTGTTTATACTGCCTCATCTACACCTGAAACTCTTCCCTGGTCTTTGGAGCTTTGTTTCAAGCGATGAATCATAGTGGGAATAAGAAGGGGTATTGGAACATAGAGAAACTGGGCACTGACAATATCTTGACCTACTATGTTCCAGGCATGTACTGTTTCATCTTTCACATTGGTTTGTCCTAGAGTTGCCTGGTGCTGAGGTTAAGGTTAAACTGCCACCTATTATTTATCTTGGGACCATGTGGAGCTGTCTCTGAGTCTTCTCTCATTGCTTTCCCCCAGTCAGGCCTCTGCCAAGACAGCCCCATGACTTACTACTCATTTTCCCTTTGCAAAGCCCATTTTCAAGGGCAGGGAGGGAGAATACAGGGATAAAGGAGCAAGGAGCTTTCCATTATTCAGAACCCATAGCTAACAGGCTTGGTTTGAACTGTCATTTCTGTTTCTAAGAGCAATAGTGTGCATGATTCACTCGGATCGTTTCAGTCGTGGTTAAGGTGGCATTTGAAGGAAGGAGAAGAAACCAAGGCATTTCACACATCCTGATACCCATTTCTAAGAGCAAATAATGCCATCCCTTTGGTTATAAACAGGGAGAGCCATGGCCAAACAGCAACCAGGGCCTCTGCCCCACTGCTTGAACATTTAGAATGCACAGAGATGTGTAATAATAAGCATTTACTTAGAATAATGAAACTTCCCGAAAGGGATGTTCATCTGAGCACCCTCTCCCCCTGAGCCACATGTGAGCTATATACTGAATTACAGTGTTGACTTTAATAGGTGTCAAGATTACCAGTTACAGACTGGTTAGAAATCCACCTCTTGGACTCAGTAGTGTTCCCTGCTAGTTCCCTTGAGGAAAGAGTGTGTTTGACTCCAGCTGATGAAACTAAATCAGGTATAGATTTATTTTTGGTAGAAAAGATCGTTAGCCCCAGACCCTCCTGCTTTGCTCCTCTCTCAACTCCCTCCCTTAACCACTTTTAGGTATTGATTTCCAAGGACTGGTGCCGATTAGTGGTGCTGGGGGGTTGGCACATGGCCTCAAGCAGCCTGATCTCATGGGTGGGTTGCTCAGGCTGGAACTTGAGCACCCAAGGATCCTTGATGATGTCCAGGATGGTGGCACGCTTGGTGGCTTGGCATAGCGTCTGGAAGACCAGGTTCTAGGGCAGGGGAGAGAGAGGTCTTGGCTGAGCTTGCCTCCCATTGTGCCACACAGGCAATGAGCAGTTGGACCTGAGAGAGAAGCAGGATAGCCCATCACACCACTCTGGTAAAAGGGGGTGTGGCCCTCATTTTATCCTGATGAGCCTGGCACGTAACTCCCTGGAGCAGAAGGGAAGGAAGGGTTCCTTGGGGGGAAATCCTTGCCTTATCCTGCTGAAACCAGCTCATCACTCACATCTAAGGTGTGGAGCCCAGGAATGGCCCTTTAAGCTCCCTCCCCACCAACTACTCTGGGGCAGGGGCTACAGTGTGAGACAGTGACGGTGGGGAAGAGCCTCCCCCAGGGTGGGGAGGCCTACATTAGGTATTCCCTCCCTGTGGGTCATCCCTGAGGCCTCAGCCCTCCTGGGGGAGCCAGCACCTTGCACTCCTGGGAGATGGAGTAGTTAGGTGGAAAAGTGACCTCCTTTTGAGTCTCTTTCAGCAGCTTTAAGAGATTGGTGTCATCAAAGGGCAGCCGGGCCACCACTAGAGTGTAGAGGATGACGCCCATGCTCCAGGTGTCAGACAGGAAAGGGTTGTAGGGCAAGCCCAGCAAGATCTCCGGGCAGGCATAAGCAAAGCTGCCACAGTAGGTCCGGCTGAGGTGGGTAAAGCAGTTCATATGGCGGTAAGAAGAGCTACCACGCACAGTCTGGTTAGAAGGCACCATCTTGGCGAAGCCAAAGTCCGATATCTTCACGTTCTCCCACTTGTCCAGCAACAGGTTCTCCAACTTTAAGTCCCTACCAGCAGCAGAAAGGCTGGGGGTCAGGCTGGGGAGAGGGCTTAGTATTAGACCAGGAGCTGAAGGGCCAGGGGTCAGAGGCTAGAGATGGAAAAGGCAAAGTGGGAGACAGGTGCCGTTATGAGGACACAAGGTTGAGAGGACGGAACCATGGAGTTAATGAGCAGAGCCCAAAGGTGAGAGAGGATGGTACCTGGGGACCAGCGAGGGCTCATCATTGTAGTTCACAGAGTGCTGTGTTCACGGTGGGTACTACATAAATGTTCTTGACCAGACAATTAAAATAGAGGGGATGGATGGGCCTAGATAACTGAGGAAGGCCAAGGGAGGGAAAAAGAGGGCAGAAAATGGAAAATATGCATAAAACACCCTTGAGAGCCCAAAGGCCCCAGCCTGGGTGGCAGCGCCCTCACCGGTGCACGATGCCCTTGCTGTGCAGGTAGGCGATGCCCAGGGTCATCTGGGAGAACCACTTGCCAGCATGGGGCTCAGAGCAAGCCCCATAGTGCTGGATCCATTCAAGGACGTCACCACCCTGAGCCAGCTCCAGAATGATGTATACTCGGGATGTGGTTTCGATGGCCTGATAGAAGTTGATGAGGTACTTGTGCCGCAGGACCTTCATTACCTGGCCCCGGAAGAGGGACCCATCAAACCTGGGAAGGGAGAACCCTGGCTGTGCTCCCAGCCCTCCTACTGTCCTGCTGCTAGCGTACTTAGAACTTTGCAGCAGGATTAAACCCCAGAGGGCTGGTGGTTTGTGGGCAGACCCTATGCTTTGTACTTTTACTTTGTGAGGCGCTGGAGGTGAGTGGGTGGGTGGAAAGAGGTTGAATTTGTATCAAGTCATCTTCCTGCTGCATAGTATGACATTCGCCGATTTGGGGTTGGGGGTGGGGTTCTGGCTCTATCCCCTCCAGACCATGCCCAGAAGTCTTAATGAGCTTGGTACCAGTTCCCTCTTCTAGCCCCCTTTCCAACCTGTATCTCACGGGGCAGGAACTTGTTAAGGTAGTCCTCAGAGGCCTTCTTCTTTGAGATGATCTTGACAGCCACCACGATCTTCTGCTTTGTGTAGTAAGCCTCATAAACCGTCCCATAGGAGCCATTGCCAATGACCTTGCCCACCTCGTAACCATACTCCTCCATGACAGAGCGGTAGGCTGAGGTGGGTGGTGCTACCTCCAGGGTGTCTCCCTTCCGCATGGTGTTGGGCTTTCTGAGAGCAGGGAGCTTTGCTACTTAAAAGCCTATTATCTGCTCAGAAAGCCATGAGGGCTAGGGTACCAAAGTAAAGTTAGTCTTTGAAAGCTTGCCTATATAGTCACACAAGTCTGGGATGCTGGGCTCAACTCTCACTAGAAACGTGGAGGGGGAAGAAGGGAGAAGCAGTTCTTTTTGTCTCCACTAGCTGTTGTTACTTCTTTCTCCTCCTGGTTACGGAACTCCTCAAGGTCCCATGTTCCACATACATCACAATTCACCTTCTTTCCACCACTGGCCATAAGACTTGAGAATGAAGTGCACTTTGGAACATATTCCTAGAGGCAACTTCTGCAATTTGGTGAGACTCCCCGCACCCTGCCTGCCCCCGCCATAGATCTAATCCCTTCAACCATTCATGTTTATTGAGCACCCACTATGTACCAGGTTGAGTACTGGGATAAAATAATAAGACCAATAGAGACCCTATGCTCCTAGAGTTTTATTATCCAGCATGAGAAACCCACGTGTGAGAATATTACAGAGCATTATAAGGTGTTGTAGAAACATACTCTAAGGAATCTTAACCTTAAAATGTTTTTCTGGCTTAAAACAACCACCTTTTTTTTTTTTTTTTTTTGCAAGTTGAGCTGGGCTCAGTTGGGTGGTTCTTCCAGCGGTCTCATCTTTGCTGGGATCGTTTGTTTCTGCTGCATATGGTCTCACTATCCAGCAGACTAGCCAGAGTTCCTTCACACAGTAGCACTGAATTTCAAGAGAAAAAAAAAAAAATCAGAAATTGTATGATCAGTTGAAACCTAGGCTCCAAAACCACAAAGCATCACTTCCATAGCTTTACACCAGTAAAGACAGTTACAAGATTACAAGGATCACTCGGATTGAAAGGGTGGAATAGATTCCACCTGATTCCACCTCTGAACCTTGAAATGCATTCTTATCTTGCTTTCCATGACCTTAAATTCTGTAGGATTCCTCCTATCCCTCTGGCCACTCCTCACACTTCACTGGAGCCTTATCTTCTCTGTCTGTCCCTTAATCATACCGCAAAGTTTCTACCATAGGTCTTATGTCCTCATCCTTTAGGATCTCCCCCATTCCCAACACCTTATTTATTACATCCATTCTGACTGCTCCTAATCTTGTCTATCTCAGATGTCTCTGGAGTTCCAGATCCAGCATCCAACTGCTTGCTGGATTCACATGGACATGTTTGTATCTTCAACGTGCCATGTCCACAACTGAAGTCTGTATGTTCTTGCCCTAGGTTTCCTCTTTCTGTAAGTTCTATACTAGTTGTTTTCAGTTCACACACCCAAATGTCACCTGGACCCTTCCCTCTACCTCAGCCCCTACATCCAATCTGTCACCAAATTCTGTCTCTTCTACCTCCTAAGTATTTTTAACAGTATGTTTCAGGCTCCCGGAGCAGCTGTCACTGCCTTAGCTGAAGCCTCTTTCAGTTCTCAACTGATCGCTCTCGCAAGCTTTCTGCTCCCCTCCAGTCTTCACCCTCAACTCCAAGGTGTAAATCTGATTTTATGCCCACTTAAAACAATTCAGTGTCTCCCCATTCTCCTCAGGATCAAGTCCAAATTTATATACATACATATATATATATATTTATATATTTATATTTACATATTTATATATCTGACCCTGCTTACTTCTCCAATTTTATCTTTTAAGCTACATGCAATGCTACAGTCAAACAGAATTACTTTTCCTTCATTGCTTTCTCTGTCTGGCAAAGCCCTACTCTCCCTTCAGGACTTAGCTCATAAGCTGTTTTAAGGACACTTTTACCAACTGCTCAAGAGCAAATTGGATGTTCCTCCCTCCTGGGTGCTCCCAGAGCCCCAATACTTTCTCTGTCACAGTGCCTGTGTTTTTTTTCTGCTTGCATCTCCCACTAGGCTGTCAGGGAGGTCAACTGGCAAGAAGAGGGAGATGAAGTCAGAGGTTTGAGAAGAATGGGTTGTGCAGAATAAGAGAGCTGATCTGGAAAATGAACAGGATCACTGAGCAGCACTGGGGGTCCAACTGAGGTTAAAAACACAATTTACAGACACACGATTTTAACACAATGTTAAGATTCATCTTGGGTATAGGTGCTTGAATACTGACAGTTCTTGAATATGAACCCAAGATTAAGGTTTCACTTGGCAGCTGGAATGAAACAATAATGGAAGAGAGGCATCAAGAACACAGTCAAGAATGTGGCTGAGATGATGGAATGCCAAATCTAAGCTGCATGGGTAAGGAAGACAAGCTAGAAAAATGCAGGTTGCAGGGAATGACAGAGATTGTGGTCATTGAAGGGTTAACCTGG